CAGCACTTGCTCTTCAGAGAGGTTTGCAGCTAAGACCATGTAGATGGCCCACACTTGCCAGGTGTGTGTAGTCATTGTTTTGCCTAAAATATGAAATACAGTTAGAGCAAATATAACATGAAAGTTCCAGTTTTGAGGAAGATACATTTGGATATATCTAAAGCATAACATACTCTTCTGTCAACATTTACCGTTGAAGGCACTAGAAATATATTTGGTTTCAACACAGTTCAGAGATGAAAAAATTAGTCAAAAATGGCATATTGTACACAAATATTCCAGAACCATTTGTTAAATGATACGTATATTGAATTCACTCTTTTTTTTCCTGTGGTTTCTGATTTTGGAATGAGGACTATCAAATCAATTAACAGCTGCACAAATCTTTTGCAGATTCAGCTAAGCATCTGAATAATCACGACATTATTACTAATCTGATCCTTCGCCTGTTTAGGAAATAGTCCCCATACATCCCCCCCTTAGCCCCACCTTAGGTCTTTTTCTTCTCGATCTTTGAATATTATTTTGTATATTCATTTTTTACTACAGGGAGTCTCCTGTATGTGTTTTAAATCCTGGTTACATCGAGAAGAGTCAGCGTCTTGTGGGAGATAGTGATGTTCTGTCCTGGTTTCAGCTGGAATAAAGTTAATTTTCTTCTTAGTAGCTGGTATAGTGCTGTGTTTTGCATTCAGGTTGAGAAGAATGTTGATAACACACTGATGTTTTAGTTTGTGTTAAGTGGTGTTTACACTAAGTCAAGGAGTTTTCAGCTTCTCATACTGCCCTGCCAGCAGAGGCTGAGAGTGCACAAGAAGCTAGGAGGGGACAGAGCCAGGACAGCTGACCCAAATGAGCCAAAGGGATCTTCCATGCCATATGATGCCATGCCCAGTATATAAACTAGGGAAGTTGGCCAGGGGACACCATAGCTCAGGGACTGGCTGGGCACCAGGCAGGGGGTAGTAAGCAATTGTATTGCACATCACTTGTTCTGTATATTCTAATTATTTCTTTATTATTATTGCATTTATTACTATTATCATTATCTTCTTCCCTTTCTGTCCTATTAAACTGTCTTTATCTCAACCCACAAGTTTTACTTTTTTTTCAAGTCTCTCCCTCATCCCAGTGTGGGATGGTAGTGAGCGAGCAGCTGTGTGGTGCTTAGTTGCTAGCTGGGGTTAAACCACAACACGTTCACATTTCACACTCATTTCAAGCATATGTCTAATCTCAATTCTGACAATAGGGAGAAGAGGCCTGCATATGTTGCAGTCCCTTTCCTCATTTTATCTGCCTTTCACTATTCTGACTGTAAATGTGCTAGGAGCAGGGAAATAAATATTTGCCTGGATGTCTGTTGTGGCGGAAAAAGACTTAACTACAAGGTTCAAGCAAACGACTTGAACTTCACTCACAGACTTAACTGCAAGGTTCAAGCAAATGATTTATTTGAACTTCACTTACAGACTTAACACGCCACTATTGCAGGTTTTACAGATACAATGGAGGAATGCACTATTGCAATTTTTAAAGCAAGAGTAGTACACTATTACAACCAATTCACAGACAACCACAAGCACACACGTGTTTACAAACTTAAAGCATAAACAATATTCCCTTACCCCTCCAGGTATGGGCTCTCAATCCCAGGGAAGCTACCTCGACCAGCATCCTGATCAAGGCGGGGAAGGTTCTCCTTCACAAGCCAACTGTACAGTTGGAGAAGTGACTCCCCGATTTCCAACTTAAATCCTAGAGTTTTTATCCCCTGACTTGTGGAATGGTGTGTATGACTATGTCTGAGTGGATTATGATATATGCCTAAATGGATTATGTATATCTGAGTGGAGTTTCCCCTTATCTTTCCTTTGCTGGTCTGTGATTATTTGAATACACAAGGTTGTCATTTGAAACTGAAGCTGAAACCCTCCAGTTGTTTTTTTTTTTACCTTGCTTCCTCAGGCAACTGAGTAGTGGTTGGACTGAGACTCAGGGTGTACTATTTGTCAGGGGATTTTAAGGCTCGGTTCAGGTTTTGGTTCTTTGAATGGCACAGCCACTGCCCTATTTAGTTTAGGGCTTATCGGACAACCCGGGGCTAAGCTGTCTACACAGCCCCCGGTGAGTCGTCTCTGCAGAGAGACAGGGCCTCAAGGCAATCCAAGGCTGGGTCACTTTTGTAACCCCCCATGAGTCACCTGTGTGCACTAGACATAGTGAAACTCATTTGTGAACTATGAGCCAGACAATCCACGCATCTGTGTAGGCCATCGTTATGTTGCCATCTGTGTGATACTTGCTAATGAAATCTGAGCTGGGAAAACTGACCGTTGTAACCTACCAACTCTTAGCTCTTCCTTCTTCCTGCCACATCCTTCTCCTCTGCCAATGGCTTTTTCTGCTTTGGGTCTCTGTGGCAGAGGGATGCTCAGGCCAAGCCATGAGGAAGAGCCAGGGGCTTTTGGAGCCTCCTGCAGATCAGATCAGCTGGGTGGACTAGATCAGCTTTTTCCAGCCCCACAGCCTGTTCCTCATCTTCTGGACTGAAATGATTCAAGAGAAACCACACAGCTGTGGATCCCGTGTCACTTCTCTTTCCTCTCATGGTTGTGCCTTTCATAGTACTGATTTGATGCAGCTTTTTCTGTTACAGAACTTGCTGCAATATCCAGCCTGTCCTTACTCCCACCAAGGTGACTTTAGTTCTTCTGTCCCTCTGAGGAGTTCCAGAAACAATTCTTGAAGCCCGAGAGGGCTGTTTTCCCTTCAAAACCCTTATTACGCATTGAATTACAACCCGTTTTTTGTTTATGCTTTCTTGACAAGGATCAAAGAGCACTTTTAAAGTATAACTTTACCCAGTGTGTCACACACACCCCCCTCCACCTCAGTAGGTATCTTACTGATGGTGAAAAGAGTGAACCAACCCCAAAGAGGCCAATGAACAGGTTCCCAAAGATCAGCATGGGCTCTGTATCAGGTTAGTGGGGTTAGACTGGCTCACTGAGAAGTACTTTCTCCTTCAGTCATCCCACTGAGACTCTGTGCAGAAGATCTACTGTACTTTGAATTCATACTCTGATTTGTTTTACAGTAGCTGACCCACACAGACAAGTTCATACAGACAAGTCCTACCCATCTAGTTGCATTATTTTTAGCCAGAGTTGCTTAAAATTATTCAAAGGGTGCAGAATTAGCTGAGATTTTGGGGGTATATGGGGAGAGAAGGAAAATTTGTGGGTAATTTTTTCAATCATTCCACCTCTTCCCACCTGAAGGACTATAAACATTTTGACCTCTTGTGTTATTTTCCTCTAATCTCTGTCTCTCTCTGATGTAGAGCTTTGGGTCTTGAAGGACACAGTCCTCTTCCCTGTCTTTAGATGCCCACAGGTGAGCTGGTTACCCACCATGTCCTCCAAAGTCAATGGGAGAGAAATAATAACTTTTAGGAGCAATTCACATCATGTCTCTTGAACACCCACATTAAGATGTGATGACTCCAAGACAAATGACCCCATTGACTTAAAATGGAGCATCACAGTTTAGATACCTAGATATTTGTCCATGTGAATCCCACCCAAAGAATTGTGATCTGTAGTTACACTCACCTGCTGTACAGCTGAGGCTCTTTTATGGGACTTTTTTGGTCTTGCAAGTCTGACTGCATAACACAGTGCTGTAGGCCATAGAAGCAAAGCTATGAGTAAGATGAGTTTCACAAGCAACGCATTTATGTGGTATTTTTAAAGTTGCCATCAAAATGCTTAGTGTTAGAAAAAGAAACAACCAGGCAACCTGGCCGATCAAAATCTGTCTATGGGGAGATTATTTACAGATGGAAAAATGGCAGCACAGAAGGGAACTGGGCAGGTACAGCATGGGAAATATCAGCCGAGTCTAATGGCTCCACCTTACCAGCCTGAAACCAACCAGGGACTGCAGGACTGAACCCCATTTGGTGGTACAGGATGCTTTTCTTTATTGTCACTTCCCTGAGCATCTTTTCCAGGTTTCTTTGCTCATCTGTAGTGTGAGCAGACACTCAGGGAAGTCCCATTCCAACCCTCATTCATTTTCAGCCGATGTCTTCCCCTTCCCATTTATGTCTAATAATTCAGCTTAAGACCCTGACTTACAGGGTCATTTCAGGCCTCTCTGCACCCACTCAGAAGTATAGCCCCAGTCCACAATATCATTGCCCTACCAAGGAATCACTTTCCCCTGTGGTGCTGGGAAGAAAAAAAGCCACATAGAGATTGAAATGCAGCTAAAAATATGGAAACTTGCACAGATGCCCTTATACCGTAAGATGCTGTGATGAACTAGACATTCAAAGTGTTTCTGGGTTATGGACAAAGGGTCTGAGCCATCAGACATGCTCAGGTTTATCTTCCCTGGCCCGGGTAAGTAGAAGTATTTGAGCAAATATGGACATATTCTTAAACAAAACCATGAGTGCCAACAGAATGAGGTTCTATAAATGCTAACAAATGCTAAAGGCTAATGTAACTGACAGTAAGGTGTGTCAATGGTGTACAAATTGATTCTAGCTTGGGGAGTGCTACCAAGCTAAACGAGGGCTGATAAATTTGAGCAGTGCTATGGAGTCTGCAGCAGGAGGGTCACTGGTTGGTGAAGAGATTGACCCACAAGCAGACTGGGGAAAGCTCCTGCTTTCCACTTGTTTGTGTGTGGGTTACATATGTCCTCACTATCACCCATGAGCATTGCCTTAATAGAATGTATGTGTATACACACGCATGTACATATATAGCATGCCTCTTCTTGTTTCTGACACCGAGGATGTCAACAGGGCAGAGTTAGGTGAGGAGATAGCTGACCCACTGCCCTGAGACCATTGCTCAATGAGCTCTTTCCTGACTGAATTCCTAACACAAACGCAGACCACCTTCATGCCCAGCCTTCCCTGGGCAGCCAGTATCGACACACAAGTGGGACAACATGCAAACAGGACAAAGCACATACAAGGCACCCTCCCACAAAGAAACTGGGCAGAAATTGCAGTCTGACCCAACTTGTCTCTTTTTCATTTGCTGCTTTCCTCTCTCTCATTTCCTGAAAGACATTGCTCCCATCAGATGTCTTGGCTTTCCCAGGGAACCTTCCTTTTGCTGCCTGCCTGCCACGCTGCCCTGCCGGCTGCCTGCGATTGCACCTGCCTGCTCCACTTCTGCTGGAGCCAGAAATCCCTGCCCGCCCTTGTACTCCTGCGGGAGCTGGCCCCTGCCCAGCCACCCCAAGCACCCTGAATCCCCCATGCAGAGGAGAAGGACTCGGTGGGAGAGATTAGCTGGCCTCTTCCCAGTGCTCCCTCCTTGCTTCTTGCTCTGGCGTTGCAGCTCCACTCTCTTTCCCTGCACCTCCAGCCTCCACCCGCCTGCGGACTCACCTCTGTGCAGAAGAGATTCCCAGGGATGTCAGCTGCAGCTCCGGTGCCTCCATGCCAGTTAACTTCTGTTGTTTCATCTCTCTCTTGCTGATTGCTCTTTACCCAGCTTCCTCTTATGCTGCTGTTTCCTTCCCACTTCAAATCTCCGCTTGGCTATGTAAACAGGGGAATTCCCACCTAGGAGATCTGATAGGCATTAAGAGCAGTAACATTATGAGTCCTTTTAAATGTGCTGACCCACAGAAGTCTGGGTCTATGCTGTGTGAAAGCTAAGGCTTCTCCTACCTCTCTCTCTCACACTCTCTTTGAAATGACCAGCAAGACGTATTTTCCTCCTTAGCCCTAGGCACACAGTCTCCTAATCTGTTTTATCAATGCTCAGTGTTTGCTATCAGATGATTCACTCATCATGTACCTGTTCAGCCTTGATTAGCCCATGAGCTATTCTGCTCCAAGATAGTGTACAGAAAAATCCTTTTGTAGCAGACTTTGAACTAACCCTAGAGATATAATTATAACAGGAAAGTAGAACTGAAAGTGGTGTTGCAGGCTACACCCACATAAACTATCATCTCATGCATGTATATATGTATACACATACACACAGGAGTGTGAATATATACATATGCATAGGCATGTATACAGATATACATATATATGAATATATACATATATACCAACACACAGGCACGTGTGTATAAGCAATTTTTCCCATTTTTCAAATACTCACTCAGTCCATATACCAATGTTTTGGTATTTCACCACAATATAATTGCATGTATAAAGTTTAATAAAGATTCATTTAGACTCTCCTGTACTTAAGCTCCAGCAACACAAGCAAAGTGCAGCATGGAAGTGCCTAGTTAGAGAAACCCACACCTAACTTCATGCCCTCAGAGACAGTTTCAGGTTTCCACAAAAACACCTGAAGTACAGGAAATCCACAACTGTGACTCCAAGCACTCAGGGTAGGACCAGCTATCTTAATATAAACACCTGTATCTACTTACTTGTTTAAATTCCCTTTATAATTGGTGAAGAGCAATACAGTAGTTCTAGGAGATATACTGAAGTAGAAAGATGAATTGTCTCTTATCAGTGTGATTTTCTGCACCAGTTACAAAGGAAGGTATGTAGAGCTATAAGGGCTGCATGGCCCAGTGATTACTTAAACGTGCTGTGCAAAGTAGAAAAGCAGAAACAAGAAGTGAGCCAGTCCGCAACACCATCTAGCCCACTCATTAGAAACATATCCTTACACCCCACAAATGGAGGCTTCAGCTATTTCTGTGGGTAGGTAGACGGGAACATGGTGGTGTCCATGGAGGGAGAAACAAGCATTCACAGGGAGAAAGAAGCCTAAGAAAAAAAAACCCAACAGTGATTTAATTCCTCTGGGTTTCACCACAGTCACTGTGCAAGGTGCCAGGATGCTTCCTTCACAGGTATTGAATAAACCCCAATCTGTGCATGGTGATATGGACTCTGGTGTAACTAGCCAGAATAACAGAATTGTGAGTAGAGGTACGTACTCAATACTGCCTTTTTTTTGTGTTGCACAGCAATGGTAGGGCTTCAGAGGGCTTGTTCTAATGTAAGTCCTCAGGGTTTTTTTCAGAATTTAATTTTAATTACCCTGCTATGAATGATGGCACTGAAAATAAACTACAGGAGAACAACAGACACAGGGGAGTGTGTCAGTGAAGCCCTTGGCTTTTATTTTCATTTGTAAATTACAATGGCATTATTAGGAACCAGTCAGGGATGTGGTAACAGGAGGGAAAAGTACAGAAATAACATACATTCAGCTAAATGTATGTAGAAAAGTGTATGAAGTCCAACAGGGCTTCCAAAAATCATAGTTATGGGCAGAGATTTTTAAAGATCAGAGTATCAAATCACTGGAAAGCCTAAAGTGGGTCTTTCTCATGTAGTAAGATGATAACTATTTCTATACACAACAAAGCAGGTTCTCCTTAGGCAGAAAAATAAAAAAGAAAAATTTCTTGGGAGGAAGAAACACTGACGTATCTCCTTTGTGGAAATACACTGAAACGGGGGCTGCAGACTTGTTCTATGACTTCAAGGCCCTTTTCAAGTTTTCCCAAAACATCTCCTGCTGCTCTTCTTCAAGAGGCCACTCCAGGTAGGTCTTTGTGTTCATGATCTTCCGCAGCTTGCAGAACCTCTTGGGAATCGCTTTGCTCTGGATGGGCTCCAGGAGGACGAGAATCGCTGCATCGTTGTTCTCGTCAAAGAGGCGGAAGTGCGAGAAGTCCAGCTCGTATTTGCACCACTCGCTCTGCACAAAGTGCTCGGACAGCACAAAGAGCGTTTTGTGGCTCTTCTCTATGGAGTCGATGATGTTGTCCACGATCCACTTCCCAGGCACAAAGTCCCGCTTATGGAGGCAGAGCCGAAAGGGGGGGCAGGCCTGCTCCAGCTCCCGCACCATGATGTTTTCCACCCAGTCAGAGTCGTTCTCGCTGTAGGAGACAAAAGCGTCGTAGCAGATGTCCTTCAGGGGGGCTCGCTTGGGCTTCCGCTTGGCTTGGAGCCATGCCCAGGTCATTCTCAGGTACCAGACCGCGTGGTACTTGTAGCCAACGGCCACGAGGATGAGGATGACCAGGAACAGCAGGACGCAGATTGACGACACCACGAGGGACCTGTGGCACTCCATCAGGGAGAGATGCACGGCTCCAACCTGCGCCCCTCTCACTGCCAGTGGAGAGTCACAGACATACTTGTCTGGCCACCCCACCAGCACCTGGGCTATGCCGGCCTCGTGGTGGATGAAGGAGAGGAATTCACAGGAGCAGATGAAGTTGTTGTCGCTGGCGTCCAGCAGCTCCATTTTCCTGAAGGACTCAAACTCTTCCCTGGAGAAACCGTTGAGCTTGTTTCTTCTGATTGACATGGCCACTAAGTTAGGAACGGGTGCGGCACCAGGCAAGGCCTTCAGCTGGTTTTTTGCAAGGTACAGCTCTTTGAGAAATGGGAGTTGCAATCCAAACTCCTTCAGGTTGTTAGCACTAACATCCAAAACTTCCAGCGTTGGGGGAATGCAAGTCGTTAGTTTAGGAATTTGAGTGCTGGAGAGGTTTAAATATTTCAGGGTTTGGGGCCACTCACACACATCTGGAATATCACCAAAATTATTTTGGCTAATGTCAAGATTAACCAGTTTGGGTAGACGAGTTACAGAATTTGCAGTCTGTTTCAGAGATTTTAGAGAGTTTTGACTTAGATTTAAAGTTTGCAATGAAGGCCAAGCATCTCTACATATTGTCTCATTTAAGCGATTATTTACAAGCAAATTATCATGAAAGTCCAGATACAGAAGTGACGAAAAATGTTTTGCAAGTTTGCATGGTACCATGAAAACTTTAGAGCTTGCAATGGTGAGTCTTTTCAGCTTGTTTATTTGTGACTCCATACCGTCCAGGTCAAAAAACAAATGAAAATTCTGAATCATTATATTTATTACTGATACTGTTTCAACAAAACTTTGCCCACTGCTTGTGATTTCTTCAATATCCCATGCTCCTTTCCCCTGAAGCACACAATCAATTGCCTCAATCTCTTGCAAAGTTTTTATTTCCTTCAGTAATACTATTATTCGGCTAATATATTGATCTGTGAATGAAGCATCTTTAAATGTAAGCTTTCGTATCCTAAAAGGAAGTGTAGAGTTCTGCACCATGCTTTTTTTTCCAATCTCTAATTTGATTTCTCTCACTTCTAACCAAGTGACAGAGTGCAGAATGTCCATGACAATTGCTGAGAATATATTAATACTTCTTACGTTTATGATCATGTGATTTATCTTCTTAATTAATTTCAAACTTCCTGGCTCATACTGACTGAGATTGCCACCGTCAATCCACAACTTGTCAAGAAACTCAATGCCCTCAAAGTTCCCTTGCCTTATTGTGGAGAACTGCGGGTTGCCCAGGTGGAGAGAGCTCAGATTCCTCAGGCTAGAAAAGGGGGAGCTTTCCCCCAGGTCTCTGTAGGAGTTCCCTTGAAGGTGGAGGTGCTGGAGCGAAAAAAGGTGCCCAAACCATGCAGGGTACAAGTGAGCCAAGCTGTTATTTGATAAGTCCAAGAGCTCCAGTTTCCCAAGGGAGCAAAACGAGTCCTTGTCTATGGAGCTGATTTCATTGGACTGCAGCAGCAGGGCTCTCAGGTTCACAGCCTGCTGCAGATCCTGGGATCGGATGTGCTTTATCCTATTGTGGGCCAGGTTTAACACTGTGATTTTGCCCGTGATCCCTGGGGGAACAAAGTCCAAGCCCATGGAAGAGCAGTTGCAAAGCTGAGTGGCATCGCACGAAGGACAAGCCTGCTTCAGCACTTGCTCTTCAGAGAGGTTTGCAGCTAAGACCATGTAGATGGCCCACACTTGCCAGGTGTGTGTAGTTCTTGATTTGTGTTTTCTTTGGTTGAACATTTTGCTCTAGGAAACAGAAAGGAGAGAAGGTAGTGTCAACTTTTAGTTTTGAACAGCAACTGAAAACAATTGAACACCTGTGCAATTTTATTAGGAAGTTCAGATTCAATTTTTTTCTTGTAAGAGATATCCTCTGACATCAGTCTTCCCCTCTTACTTCAGCTGCTCAGTCCTGCAAACATGGCATTCTACTTATCCCTGGATTACAGCCATATCATGTCTCAACAGTCATAAAGGACCATTCTCAACAGCCTGCCTTTTCATAGACGTATTGGCTATGGCCCTTGCCTCTTACATCTCTTGCATTACACTGCCTCTCAGCAATGAAGCTACAGCCGGATGTTTCAACCCTAAACAGGGGAAGATGGCTAGACCATCAATGATCTGGATGAGGGGATCAAGTGCACCGTCAGCAACTTTGCAGACAACACCAAGTTGGGAGGGAGGGTTGATCTGCTGGAGGGTAGGAAGGGTCTACAGAGGGATCTGGACAGGCTGGATCCATGGGCCGAGGCCAATTGTATTAAGTTCAACAAGGCCAAGTGCCAGGTCCTGCACTTGGGTAACAACAACCCCGTGCAGCGCTACAGGCTTGGG